CGCCCCTCTTAGTTTCACGACAGTGCCAATCCTTGGTGCATAATCGAGTGTCTACAGAAAACTAATGGTTTGCTTGCCTCTCCAGGGGGCTTTAAATTCGCCAAACTGTTGACCAAACTATGAAGGTTTCCTCCCTCCTTTTTGGGGACCAAGAATAGGAGACATGGCAGGATTCATTATGTCCAGATCTCTCTGTTTTTTAGAGGATAACTCCCTTGCTAGAAAGAAATACTCGGTTTGCTTTTTTTTCTCCCTCTAAGTTTACTGACTTCCAAGGCATATTATAAGGGGTTTCCACCAAAATTTAGTCACAATTAGTCTTACCCCTATCCTGACAGTACTTTCAAGTCTTTCCAACATTCTAAACCCAACCACTTGGCAGTTTTTCATCATGCTATTTCTTGGATGGGACATGGTCTTTCTGAAAGTTAGTAGGCCACTGTTCTCTAATTTAGAACATCTGCTTTCTAGACTGCTCTAATAATTTCTTATCTCTCCATAATCTGAAAGTCTTTGCCTAGAAGACCGCTCTTTTCAGGAGTCTATCCATGAGGCATTAAAAAATAAAAACAGCATTATATTCACATAGTTACCATGTCATCTTTCAATCTCTGAGCAATCTGATTCCATATTTGTGTGCCAGGTCAACCCTTAAAGGGTAGACTTTATTTTTTAAAATAGTGAAATTAAATAAAAGGGTAGTAAACATTCCACTTTACAAATAAAGTGAGTGAGGCCAGGCATGGTAGCTTATGTCTGTAATCCCAGCACTTTGGGAGGCCAAGGCAGGCGGATTGCTTGAGGTCAGGAGTTTGAGACCAGCTTGGCAAACATGGTGAAACCCTGTCTCTACTGAAAATATAAAAATTAGCTCAGCGTGGTGGTGGGTGCCTGTAATTCCAGCTACTGCGGAGGCTGAAGCAAGAGAATAGCTTGAACCTGGGAGGCGTAAGTTGCAGTCAGCCAAGGTCATGCCACTACGCTCTAGCCTGGGTAACAGAGTGAGACTCTGTCTCAAAAAAAAAAAAAAAGAAATGAAGTGAGTGCTATGGAGAATGAGTTTGCATTTTCTCTCTGTGAATCTACTAGTATCATGCAGAAAGCTTAAAGCAAAACAAAACTATCTGCCTTCTTATCTGAAAGAATGTAATTTACTTTATACCCTCATGTACTGCTGATGGGAATGTAAAATGGTGCAGTCACTTTGGACAACAGTCTAGAAGTGCCTCAAACAGTTAAACATAGAGTTACTATATATCCAGCAATTCTATTACTAGGTATATACCAAAAAGAAATGAACACATAAATATACACAATAATGTATACATAAATGTCCATAGCAGCATTATTCATATAGCCAAAATGTTATTATGGTTATTATGGAAACAACCTAAATGTCCATTTACTGATGAACAGATAAAATGAGGCATGTTAATACAAGAGAACACCATTTGGCAATGAAAAGAAATGAAGTATGGCTCCATGTGATAATATCATGCTAAGTGAAAGAAGCCAATCACAAAAAAAACCATGTTGTACAATTCCATTTATATGAAATGTACAGAATAGGCAAAACTTGAGAGAGAGAATACAGGTTAGTGGTTGTCTATTTATAGGGGACGGGGGATTGGTGGTGGAGAGATTTCAGAGTGATGGCTAAGTGGTGTGGGGAGGGTTCTTTTCTTTCTTTCTTTCTTTCTTTTTTTTTTTTTGTTTGTAAGACAGAGTCTTGCTCTGTCACCCAGGCTGGAGTGTAGTGGCGTGATCTCGGCTCACTGCAACCTCTGCCTCCCAGGTTCAAGCGATTCTCCTGCCTCAGCCTCCCAAGTAGCTGGGATTACAGGCGTGCGCCACCATGTCCAGCTAATTTTTATATTTTTAATAGAGACGGGATTTCGTCATGTTGGTCAGGCTGGTCTCGAACTCCTGACCTCAGGGATCCTCCTGCCTGGGCATCCTAAAGTACTGGGATTACAGGCATGAGCCATTGTGCCCGGCCAGGGTTTTCTTTTTTGGGAATAAAAAGTTCTAAAGACGATCGTGATGACAGTTGTACATACCTACGAATATACATAAAAGCCATTGATCTGCACCTTTATTTATTTATTTATTTATTTATTTATTTATTTATTTTGAGAGAGAGTCTTGCTCTGTCACTCAGCCAGAGTGCAGTGGTGCGATCTCAGTTGACCGCAACCTCCCGGGTTCAAATGCTTTTCCTGCCTCAGCCTCCCGGGGAGCTGGGATTACAGGCGCCCACCACCATGCCCAGCTAATTTTTGTATTCTTAGTAGAGACAGGGTTTTGCTTCGTTGGCCAGGCTGGTCTTGAACTCCTTACCTTAGGTAATTCACCCACCTTGGCCTCCCAAAGTGCTGGGATTACAGGCGTGCCTGTACACTTTATTTTTATTTTTTATCTTTTCGTTTTTTGAGGCAGCGTCTTGCTCTATTGCCCAGGCCAGAGTGCAGTGGTGCGATCTCAGCTTACTGCGACTTCCATCTCCCAGGTGCAAATGATACTTCTGCCTCAGCCTCAAGAGTAACTAGGATTACAGGCACGCGCCATCACATCCAGCTAATCTTTGTATTTTTATTTATTTATTTTGAGACAGTCTCACTCTGTCACCCAGGCTGGAGTACAGTGGCACAATCTTGGCTCACTGCAACCTCTGCCTCCCAGGTTCAAGTGATTCTCCTGCCTCAGCCTCCTGAGTAGCTGGACTACAGGTGCGTGCCACAACATTCGGCGAATTTTTTGTATTTTTAGTAGAGACGGGGTTTCACCATGTTAGCCAGGATGGTCTTGATCTACTAACCTCATGATCCGCCCATCTTGGCCTCCCAAAGTGTTGGGATTACAGGCGTGAGCCACCGTGCCAAGTCTTTTTTTTTTTTTTTTTAATAAAACTAGTTTATGGAAGTATACTTTAAAAACCATAAAATCATTTATTTTAAATATACAGTTCAGTGAATTTTAGTAAATTTACAGATTTGCAAAACCATCACCACAATACAATTTTAGAACCTTTCCTTCATCAAAAGATCCCTTGTGCTATTTGTAATTGCTCCCTGTCCTACCTACTAAATTCACGTACAGGTTTTCGTATGAACATGTTTTGTTTTTTTTCTGTTTGAGACGGAATCTCGCTCTGTCGCCCAGGCTGGAGTGCAGTGGCACAATCTCGGCTCACTGCAAGCTCCGCCTCCCAGGTTCATGCCATTCTCCTGCCTCAGCCTCCCGAGTAGCTGGGACTACAGGTACCCGCCACCACACCTGGCTAATTTTTTTGTATTTTTAGCAGAGACGGGGTTTCACTGTGTTAACCAGGATGGTCTCGATCTCCTGACCTCATGATCCACCTGCCTCGGCCTCCCAAAGTGCTGGGACTACAGGCATGAGCCACCATGCCCAGCCTATATGAACATGTTTTCATTTCTCTTGGGTATATACCTAGTAGTGGAATTGCTGGGTCATATGATAACTCCATGTTTAACTTTTTGAGGAAATGTCAAACTATTTTCCAAAGCAGCTGTACCTTTTTCACATGAAATACAGTTTTGAAAGCTGTTTTCTAATGTAAAAGTGTTCAGCAGTAAATTATTATAAATATATTAAAATAAACCTTATTTATTATTTTTATTTTTTATAGAGATCGGATCTCACTATATTGACCAGGCTGGTCTTGAACTCCTACCCTCAAGTAATCCTACTGCCTTCGCCTCCCAAAGTGCTGGAATTATAGGCATAAGCCACCACACTGGGCCTAAAATAAACTTTAAAGAATATTTATCCTAATTCCATCTAGCCATAACACAATGAATTTCATTTGTTTTCCAAAAGCATATACCACATATATTTATAAGATTGTGATAATAAAGAACATAACACTTAGATTCTTAGTTTTCATTCATTTTTTTTCTTCCTATGAATAGAAAAGCAGTTTTCACTCTTGTTATATATTTATGTCATCATTTGCAGGAATCATTTTTTCAGACTTAATTTGTTATGACAGTGATTACTATCAAAAGTTATAAAGTAGATTCAATTATCATACACTTTTAGGAAGGCTAGAATACTGAAAACACCCGTCAATTTCTTTTTTTGTTTGTTTGTTTGGAGACAGAGTCTCGCTCTATCCCAGGCTGGAGTGCAGTTGCACAATATTGGCTCACTGCAACCTCTGCCTCCTGGGATCAAGCGATTCTCCTGTCTCAGCCTCCTAAGTAGCTGGGATTACAGGTGCATGCTACCACGCCCGGCTAATTCTTGTAGTTTTAGTAGAGATGGGGTTTTGCCATATTGGCCAGGCTGGTCTTGAACTGCTGGCCTCAGGTGATCCACCCTCCTCAACCTCCCAAAGTGCTGGGATTACAGGTGTGAGCTACCATGCCCCGCTCCGTGTCAATTTCTTCAAAAGACATGCTTTCATCAGTGGCATTTGCCAGTCAGAAAATCTAAACTATTTCAACATTTAGAATAAATGATGTAATTAACAGAGTTTCAAAAATATATCAGTTTTTTCACTTAAAAAGGTCAGCTCGCCAGACACAGTGGCTCACGTCTGTAATCCCAGCTCTTAAGGGGGCAGAGGCAAGAGGATAGCTTGAGCCCAGGAGTTTGAGACTTGCCTGGACAATACAGCAAGACCTCATTCTCCACAAAAAGGAAAAACAACAACAAAAGACTAAAAAAGGTCAGCTTATAGTTTCTGGTTTTCATAGTGAAAAGATTCTGACAGCTTGGAGCTTTAGATTAGTTATTCCAATGCTTCAAGTGCTAATTAAAAGGTAAAATTATTTTAAAAGGCTGGGAGCAGTGGCTCACACCTGTAATCCCAGCACTTTGGGAGGCTGAGGAAGGAGGATCGGTTGAGGCCAGGAGTTCAAGACCAGAATGGGCAACGTGGAGAGATCTCCATCTTTACAAAAAAAGAAAAAATTAAAAAAAAATTTTTAAATAAGAAGGCAATAAAAACATTAGTGGCTCAGATTACCAACCTTAAACACATCCTCAATGCATCTACTAAGTTCTTCTTCTGTCACCAAAATAGTTCCTGGTACCATGTCACTCTCTGGAATCTCTAGAAAAACAAAAACAAAAACAAAAACACAAAATTACCCATATTTAGTGCCTCACTGAATAGAACATATTAAAGCTAAGGAAGAAAGTTTTACTAAAAAGATGGCTCAGTAAGTAACAGCTAAGATCAGAAAATTGACACGGTTACCATTGAACAATATACCCTTCATACACATTTCATAGAATATATGATGCCAGTGATTATAAACATGAATTGTTATTTTACATATCACTAAGAAAAAACACCAACATTGCCAATTAACCTATAACACATTATCACTTAGAATTTTCATTTTAGGCCAGGCACTGTGGCTCACGCCTGTAATCCCAGTACTTTGGGAGGCCGAGGCGAGCGGATCACAAAGTCAGGAGTTCGAGACCAGCCTGGCCAATATGGTGAAACCCGGTCTCTACTAAAAATATAAAAAGTTAGCCAGATGTGGTGGCGCAGGCCTGTAGTCCCAGCTACTCAGGAGGCTGAGGTAGGAGAATCACTTGAACCCAGGAGGCGGAGGGTGCAGTGAGTTGAGATTGTGCCACTGCACTCAAGCCTGGGCAACAGAGTGAGACTCTGTCTCAAAAAAAAAAAAAAAAAGAATTTTCATTTTAAACTTAATTGAATAAAAATTGGGGATTGGATAAATGAAAATGGCAGCGTTGGCCAAGTGCGGTGGCTCATGCCTGTGATCCCAGCACTTTGGGAGGCCAAGGTGGGTGGATCACAAGGTCAGGAGATCAAGACCATCCTTGCTAATACAGATAAAATCTGTCTCTACTAAAAATACAAAAAATTAGTCTGGGTGCGGTGGCTCACGCCTGTAATCCCAGCACTTTGGGAGGCCGAGGTGGGCGGATCACGAGGTCAGGAGTTCGAGACCAGCCTGACCAACATGGTGAAACCCCATCTCTAATAAAAATACAAAAATTAGCCAGGCGTGGTGGCCTGCGCCTGTAATCCCAGTTACTCAGGAGGTTGAGGCAGGAGAATCGCTTGAACCCGGAAGGCTGAGGTTGCAGTGAGCTGAGATTATACCACTGTACTCCAGCCTGGGTGACAGAGCAGGACTCCGTCTCAAAACAAACAAACAAACAACAAAAAAAATTTAGCTGGGCGTGGTGGCAGGCGCCTGTAGTCCCAGCTACTCGGGAGGCTGAGGCAGGAGAATGGCGTAAACCCGGGAGGCGGAGCTTGCAGTGAGCTGAGATCGCGTCACTGCACTCCAGCCTGGGTGACAGAGCGAGACTCTGTCTCAAAAAAAAAAAAAAAAAAGAAAGAAAATGGCAGAGTTAATAGTTGTATCTAGGTGATAGGTACATAAGAGTTCATTATATAATCTCTATAGCATGTGTTTTAAATTTTCCCTTCAAAAAGTTTTAAAATAGTTATATTTTATTTTTATTTATTTGAGACAGGGTCTTGCTCTATAACCCAGGTTTTGGAGTGGAACTGTGCAATCATGGCTCACTGAAGCCTCAACCTCCTGGGCTCAAGTGATCCTCCTACCTCAGCTTCCTGAGCAGCTGGGAATACAGGCGTGCACCAACACGCCCACCTAATTTTTAAAATGTTTTCTAAAGACAGGTTCTCATTATGTTACCCAGCCTGGTCGCAAACTCCTGGGCTCAAGCGATCCTCCCGCCTCAGCAATCCCAGCACTTTTGGAGGCTCAAGCAGGAAGATCACTTGAGCCCAGGAGTTCCAGACCAGCCTGGACAATATAGGAAGACCCCAACTCTATAAAAAACAAAAATTTTTAAAAAGTTTTTTAAGTTTTACAATGTCTTTCTATTTATTTAGACATAGTTTTATTATATATATATATATTTTTTTTTTTTTTTTTTTTTTTTTTTGAGCAAGGGTCACACTCTGTCACCCAGGCTAAAGTGCAGAGGCGTGATTATGGCTCACTGCAGCCTCAATCTCCCAGGCTCAAGCGATCCTCCCACCTCAGCCTCCCAAGTAGCTGGGGCTATAGGTGCTTGCCACCACGCCTGGCTAATTTTTACATTGTTTTTTGGTTAAGATGAGGTTTTGCCATGTTGCCCAAGTGGTCTCGAACTCCTGGGCTCAAGCAATCTGCCCGCCTAAGCCTCCCAAAGTGCTGAGATTACAAGCATTAGCCACCATGCCCAGCTATGATTCTTGATTGAACTTTGGATTTTAAAAAAACAGCTCTAAAAGAAATTATTGAAAAAATTAGAGAAGTTTGAATGGAATTTATATATTATATCACAGCATATTGTATAAATGTTAAATTTCCTGGGTGTGGTAATTGCATTGCGGTTATGTAGGAGACTGACATTTTTCTTTGGAGATGCATACTGAATTATTTAGGGGTGAAGTGTTGTGATGTCTGCAACTAACTCTCAAATGCTTCAGAAAAGATATGTTTATATGTGCAGAAAGAGAGAAAGATAAAACAAATGTGGCCAAAATGTAAAGTCATTCAGTCTAGGTGATCTCTTTTTTTTTTTTTTTTGAGACGGAGTCTCACTCTGTCGCCCAGGCTGGAGTGCAGTTGCTGGATCTTGGCTCACTACAAGCTCCGCCTCCCGGGTTCACGCCATTCTCCTGCCTCAGCCTCCCAAGTAGGTTTCACTGTGGTCTCTATCTCCTGACCTCGTGATCCGCCCACCTCGGCTTCCCAAAGTGCTGGGATTACAGACATGAGCCACTGTCCCCGGCCCAGTATACTCTTCTTGAAACTTGTAAGTGAATTTCTCAAAATAACAAGTTGCCGGGAGGGGAAGGAAAACTAAAGACACTGAAATAACACAGATTTAAATCATTTAAACATAAAATACTGAAGAAGGTCCTTTAGAGGCACACCCAACCACCACACTTCCTCCTTTACCTGCTGTACTCAAACATCGATGAAGAGGAGCTAACACTGGCTGGAGCAAATACTTTGCTGCCAATTGTGGGCGTTCTCTTGACAAAGTTATAAAGGTAGTGGTGGCAACTCTCTGAAACTGTCGTGCTGTCAATTTATCCTGAAAGTGAAATAAATCCAGAACCTACAAAAATATTACAAGAAGTAAATGCCAGTTTTTTGCAAGGAATATGACATTAACTAAAAAGAAAAAGCATGAATTTTTTAAGCCAAAAAAAATAAACTCACTTCAATAACACTAATTCAACAGAATTCTTTTCTTAATTTAACATACCCAGGATCAAAGGGTAAGAGAGCTGAACAGGCAGTGTTTTTATTTTTAATTAAAAATTTGTTTTGCCCATCCCTCATACTTGCAGTGTTTTCATTATTTTATCAAATTTATAAAATACAGGCTCATTTTAGGCACACGCATAGGGAGTATTAATTAAGAAAACTCCTTCCACATTTTTCATGTATCAGATTAGGAAAGATCAAAAACTTTGTAACACATTGTGTGGGTAAAAATGTTGGAAAATAGGTACATAAAGCATATCAATCAAAAATTTAAATGCATAAAACCTTTGAACCAATAATTTCAATTCTAGGAATTTTTCCTATGGTAATACTGGTAGTTATGTACAAAGACTTAGGGATATTAACTGTAGTGTAATTTGTAATAGAAAAAGAATGGAAAGAACTCAAATGTCCATCAATAGCAATGTACTATAATAAATTATAGTACATTAATATGATGAAATATCATGTACCCATGAAAATGAATGAAATGATCTCCAAGGTACACTATTTTTTTTCTTTTTTTTTTAGATGGAATCTCGCTCTGTCATCCAGGCTGGAGTGCATTGGTGTGAACTCGGCTCACTGCAACATCTGCCTCCCGGGTTCAAGTGATTCTCTATCCTCAGCTTCCTGAGTAGCTAGGACTACAGGCATGCACCACCACACCTGGCCGATTTTTGTATTTTTAGTAGAGACGGGGTTTCTCCATGTTGGCCAGGCTGGTCTCGAACTCCTGTCCTCAAGTGATCTGCCCGCCTCAGCCTCCCAAACTGCTGGGATTACAGGAGTGAGCCATTGTACCTGGCCAAAGTACACTATCGCCGGGCGCGGTGGCTCAAGCCTGTAATCCCAGCACTTTGGGAGGCCGAGACGGGCGGATCACGAGGTCAGGAGATCGAGACCATCCTGGCTAACACGGTGAAACCCCGTCTCTACTAAAAAATACAAAAAAAAACTAGCCGGGCGAGGTGGCGGGCGCCTGTAGTCCCGGCTACTTGGGAGGCTGAGGCAGGAGAATGGCGGGAACCCAGGAGGCGGAGCTTGCAGTGAGCTGAGATCCGGCCACAGCACTCCAGCCTGGGTGAGAGAGCGAGACTCCGTCTCAAAAAAAAAAAAAAAAAACAAAGTACACTATCAATGAAAAAAAGCAAAATGAAAGAGAGCATGCTGCATGCTATCATTTAGATAGAAATTAGCACTGGCCTTGTGTGGTGGCTCACGCCTGTAATCCCAGCACTTTGGGTGGATCACCTGAGGTCGGGAGTTCGAGACCAGCCTGACCAACATGGAGAAACTCCATCTCTACTAAAAATACAAAATTAGCCAGGCCTCGTGGCGCATGCCTGTAATCCCAGCTACTCAGGAGGCTGAGGCAGGAGAATTGCTTGAACCTGGGAGGTGGAGGTTGTGGTGAGCCGAAAGCTCGCCATTGCACTCCAGCCTGGGCAACAAGAGCAAAACTCTCTCTCAAAAAAAAGAATTAGCATTAATTTTACCATCATATGTGTATATGTTAATGTACGTGTGTATGCACATACACGTTAATACACATATACATTAACATATACACATATGATGGCATATGCATAATACACAGAATATCTCTGGAAAGAAATTCATAGCAGTGACTACCTCTGAGGGACTGAAGAACAGGAATGGGAGACTTAGATTTTGGTTTACTCTTGTATGCTTTTTAAATTGTTTGCCATGTTAATTTACCTTGTTTATTTAATATCTACCTTTAAATATCTACCAATATTATACTTGAGTTCCATTCCTGTGCAGTAAGAAAAAACTCAGAGGAAAAAAACTAATTAAAAACACATGGAGAGAAAAGATAATGAACAAGATGAAACTTGAGTTTCGTATTCTAGCTCTGAGAGCGAGCTGGGCCAATCATTCAATAGTGGTAAGGCATTCTTTTTTTTTTTTTTGAGACGGAGTTTCGCTCTTGTCGCCCAGGCTGGAGTGTAATGGCTCAATCTCGGCTCACAACAACCTCCACCTCCGGGGTTCAAGCAATTCTCCTGCCTCAGCCTCTTAAGTAGCTGGGATTACAAGCATGTGCCACCACACTCAGCTAATTTTGCATTTTTTTTTACTGGAGACGGGGTTTCTCCATGTTGGTCAGACTAGTCTTGAACTCCCGATCTCAGGTGATCCGCCCACCTCGGCCTCCCAAAGTGCTGGGATTACAGGTGTGAGCTACTGCGCCTGGCCTCGCCGTTCTTAAACTGAACAATTAGGTCAGTCTCTTCCACAGGTTTTTATTCATTTATTAAGAAGACTCCTCACTAAACAATAAACTTAAATATTATACTGCTTTTATCTCAATCCTAGAGGAACATTAAAAGTCCTCTTTCTGTACATAAGCTGATAATCCTCAAATGGTCAACAGAAACAAAATGATGTACCTGGGCGCAGATGTCCCGGTAGTAACTCTCTGGTGAAAGAGACTGCTGGGGACAAGAGGCCAAAATCGTTGCGATCAGGTCACACTTCTTCCAGTCAGCAGCCGTCGCCTCAGCATCACTTCCACCAGCTGCCCCTGCTGGTACAATGGAGAGAGATGTCAGCAGCTCACAGCAAATCCCCACAGAAGGTCCCATATAACACATTTGTCTTAAAATTCAGGGTAAAATGCATTTATCTTCTCTATTGAAAATAGCTTATTTTTTTTCTATAAGATAATCTACCCTTCTATACTTTCCTTTTTATGTTATTTCATATTTGTTTATTATTATATTTTTGAGACAGAGTCTTGTTCTGTCGCCCAGGCTGGAATGCAGTGGCATGATCTCAGCTCACTGCAACCTCTGCCTCCCAGGTTCAAGAGATTCTCTTGCCTCAGCCTCCCGAGTAGCTGGGATTACAGGCATACACCACCATGCCCAGGTAATTTCTTTCTATTTTTAGTACAGACGGGGTTTTGCCATGTTGACCAGGTTTTGCCATGTTGACCAGGCTGAATTCTGACCTCAAGGTGATCGCCCACCTCGGCCTCCAAAATGGTGTGATGACAGGCATGAGCCACCGTGCCCAGCCTATACTTTCCTTTTGATGCTAGTTTCTGGGAAATTCAGAGAAAAACTAGCACTTAGTCACTATAATGATATTATTCATATAACTAGAATACTAGCTTCACCATGTTTATTACTATTATTATTATTCTGTCTCCTTGTATGTATCATTTCATCTAAACTGTCTTAAGCCACAGCCGTAGAGTGACAGGGACCAGAATTACTTTACCATCTTAAGCAATTATAAAATTGGACAAAATATATAAACAATGGTTTCCAGACAATGCACAACAAGCAGCCCAGGGCACTGATCCCTGAGAGAAGGGAAGCAAACAAACTGAGCTTGACAACTGCCCTTGTTCACCGCCTGGAGAGTTTTCAGGCGATAGCAAGAGCAGCCCAAATGAAGCCTGGCATCTTGGTGAGTGGAAGAAACATAGTTCAGAGTTCAGGGAGGCCAACGCAGCTGGAATTTTCAGGGCAAAAAATACCAGAGAGGAGGAAGTTACACATAGAGAGAGTTCCAAAGATCTGCAAAAGGGTCCTTTCTCAGGTCTTTGGTAGAGTATGATACCTGTATGTGTGAGGAAAATACCAAAGCCTGGGGCAATAACCAACAGAAAAGAGTAGGTGGGAACAACCCCCATGGTTCATAATGGCTGGGAATAGTTGTATTCCCACTAGCCAGCCTGGGAGGATCTCCTAATACACAGGGCAACAACTAGAATTCTCAGAAGTGTATTGTCTTAGTACAATCTGTATTGTTACACTTAGTACAATACACTTAGTATAATACAATAAGGGGTTAAATTACCTTAAAGGTTGCTGTAGAACCACACTAACACAGCTGAAAAGCCAGGATCAAATGAACTAAACTAATTATAAGTAACTTAACTGCATTCCAGAACAAAGTCCAACCAAGGAATATAAAAATCTGGCACTCAGCAATGTAAAATAAAAATGTTCAGCATCCAGTCAAAAATTACCAGGCATATCCATATAAGGAAATATTATTCAGTCATAAAAAGGAATAATGTTTATGGAGGACTGATTCATTCATGTTATAACACGACTAAACCTTGGCTGGGTGCAGTGGCTCACACTAGCACTTTGGGAAGCCGAGGCAGGTGGATCACCTGAGGTCAGGAGTTTGAGACCAGCCCGGCCAACATGGTGAAACCACGCCTCTACTAAAAATACAAAAATTAGCCAGGTGTGATGACACGTGCCTGTAATCCCAGCTACTTGGGAGGCTGAGGCAGGAGAATCGCTTGAACCTGGGAGAAGGAGGCTGTGGTAAGCTGAGATCACACCATTGCACTCCAGCCTGGGTAACAACAGCAAAACTCCATCTCAAAAACAAACGAACAAACAAACAACATGAATAAACCTCAAAAACATTATGTGAAGTAAAGGAAGCCAGACACAAAAACCATATATTGTATGAAATGCCAATACGGGTAAATCCAAAGACACCAGGAAGTGAACTAGTACTTACCAGAGTCTGAGAGGAAGGGAGAATGAGGAGTGGTGATTGCTAGTGAGTATGAGGGCTTCTTTGGGGGGATATGGGGAGAGGGTTGATAAAAATGTTCTGGAAATAGATATTGGTGATGATTGCACAACTCTGTGAATATACTAAACACCACCAAACTGTACTCTTTAAAAACAAAGTGACTTCTGGCCGGGTGTGGTGGTTCACTCCTGTAATACCAGCACTTTGGGAGGCCGAGGCAGGTGGATCACCTGAGGTCAGGGGTCCAAGACCAGCCTGGCCAACATGGTGAAACCCCATCTCTACTAAAAATTTTTTTAAAAATTAGCTGGGTGTGGTGGCATGCACCTGTAGTCCCAGGTACTCGGGAAGCTGAGGCAAGACAATCTCTTGAACACGGGAGACGGAAGTTGTAGTGAGCCGAGATCGCGCCACTGCACTCCAGCCTGGGAGATTGCAGTGAGCTGAGATTGCGTCACCGCACTCCAGCCTGGGCGACAGAGTGAGACTCTGTCTCAAAAAAATAAATAAATAAAAAATAAGGCCGGGCGCGGTGGCTCAAGCCTGTAATCCCAGCACTTTGGGAGGCCGAGGCGGGCGGATCACAAGGTCAGGAGATCGAGACCACAGTGAAACCCCGTCTCTACTAAAAATACAAAAAATTAGCCGGGCGCGGTGGCGGGCGCCTGTAGTCCCAGCTACTCAGGAGGCTGAGGCAGGAGAATGGCGGGAACCCGGGAGGCGGAGCTTGCAGTGAGCCGAGATCGCGCCACTGCACTCCAGCCTGGGCAACAGCGTGAGACTCCGTCTCAAAAAAAAAAAAAAATAAAAAAATAAAAAAAAATAAAAATAAAAATAAAAAGTGGCTTCTATGGTATGTGAATAACATCTAAAAAAAAAAAAAATTACCAGGCATGCAATGAAGGAAAACAATATGGCTTATAATTAGAAGAAAAAAATCAACAGAACAGGCTGTGGGCGGTGGCTCATGTCTGTAATCCCAGAACTTTGGGAGTCCAAGGCGGGCAGATCACCTGAGGTCAGGAGTTCAAGACCAGCCTGGCCAACATGGTGAAACACTGTCACTACTAAAAATACAAAAATTAGCCGGGCATGAGGATGCACACCTGTAGTCCTAGCTACTTGGGAGGCTGAGGCAGGAGAATCTCTTGAATCTGGGAGGTGGAGGTTGCAGTGAGCAAAGATTGTGCCACTGCACTCCAGCCTGGGTGACACAGCAAGACTCCGTCTCAAAAAAAAAAAAAAGAAAAAAATCAATAGAACAGACCCCAAAAAACAGAGATAACACAGAGATAACAGAATTAGAAGACAAGACCATTAAGACAACTTTATTTACTTTTTTTTTTTTTTTGAGACAGTCTTACTCTGTCATCCAGGATAGAATGCAGTGGTGTGATCTTAGCTCACTGCAACCTCCCCCTCCCGGGTTCAAGCAATTCTTCTGTCTCAGCCTCCCGAGTAGCTGGGACTACAGGCATGCACCACCACACCCAGCTAATTTTCTGTATTTTTAGTAGAGGAGGGGCTTCACCATGTTGGCCAGGCTGGTCTCAAACTCCTGACCTCGTGATCGGCCCACGTTGGCCTCCTAAAGTGCTGGAATTTCAGGCATGAGCCACTGTACCCGGCCCATTAAGACAACCATTAAAATTTGTCCTTGGCACTTTGGGAGGCCAAGGTAGGTGGCTCACTTGAGACCAAGAGTCCAAGACCTGCCTGGGCAATATGGCGAAACCCTGTCCCTACTAAAAATACAAAAATTATCTGGGTGTGGTGGTACATGCCTGTAATCCCAGTTGCTCAGAAGGCTGAGGCACAAGAATTGTTTGAACCTGGGAGGCGGAAGTTGCAGTGAGCCAAGATCATGCCACCGCACTCCAGCCTGGGAGACAGAGCAAGACCCTGTCTCTGGGAAAAAAAAATTTTAAAAGAGAAAAATAAAAAAGACATAGAGAAAAAAAGACACACACACAAAAAGAGCATTAGTTATTTGCAGGACAACATTAAACAACATTAAACATAATATTTGGTGTAATTCAAATCTCAGAAAGAGAGATCTGAGGGGAGTACAGAGAAAAATATTTGAAGATAATGTCTGAGAAATTTCCAAATATGGCAAAACTATAAACCCACAGCTCCAAAAAGCAGAAAAAAACAAAAAGAAACCAACACCACACCAAGGTATATCATAATCAAATTTCTAAAAACCAGCCATAAGAGAAAAATCTTAAAAGAGGGAAAAACAGTATATCATTTACAGAGGAACAAAGATAAGAATGATAGCAGACTTCTCATCAGAAATGACCCAAGCCAGAAGACAACGGAATATCTTAAAAGTACTAAAAGAAAAAATAAATGTCAACCTAGATTTCTATACCCAACAAAAAATATATTTCAAAAAGGAAAATGAACTAGACTTTTTGAGACAAACAAAAGCTAGAAAATTAATTGCCAGGCCAGGTGCAGTGGCTCACACCTGTAATCCCAGCACTTTGGGAGGCCAAGGCAGGTGGATCACCTGAGGTCAGGAGTTCAAGACCAGGCTGGCCTACATGGCAAAACCCCGTCTCTACTAAAAACACAAAAATTAGCCAGGTGTGGTGCTGTGTGCCTGTAGGCCAAGACAGGTGGATCACCTGAGGTCAGGAGTTCAAGACCAGGCTGGCCAACATGGTGAAACCCCATCTCTACTAAAAATACAAAAAGTTAGCCAGGCCAAAAAAAATTAGCCGGGCATGGTGGCAGCCACCTGTAATCCCAGCTACTTGGGAGGTTGCAGCAGGAGAATCGCTTGAACCCAGGAGGCAGAGGTTGCAGTGAACCGAGATCGTGGGCAACAAGAGCAAAACTCTGTCTCAAAACAAAACAAAACAAAACAAAACAAAATTCATTGCCAGTAGACCTACACTATAAGAAATGGTAACTAAAGTTCAGGCAGAAGGAAATTTGCACTGAAATTTTGATCTACGTAAAGAAATAAAGACCACCAGAAATGGCAAATATAAACCTGCCTCAAACCATTTTGGGAAAGAAACAAGGTATGAATAGATAACAAGAAATATATACATGCACAAGTTGGGGGAACTCATAGGAAAAAGAGGGTTCTGATTTTCTTATAGCACCTCTCCAATCTGCACGCCCTTAAGTGAGATCTAACCCTTCTTGGAAAAGGAAGGTGCAAAGACCTGTTTCTAGGGGACAACTTCTTATGGGTAACTGACCATTTCTCATTTCATTGGCCCTAGAAGCCACTGTGGGGAGAACTGAGGGAAGGTAATATTATAGCCACTCTAGACCAAATCTACCAATGTCTGCCAACCACACTGACCTCACTTTTGTCTGATAGGACCAAGGTACATTAACTATGCCAAAAATGAAGTCAAGATTTATTCTTCTAGCTCTCTTCCTTCTTCCCCACATATCCAGCCCTTCATTAAGTTTTGGCAACTCTCCTCCTTAAATATCTCTCAAACCCATTCGTTTCTCTCCATTTCCACGGCCACTGCATTAATCCAAGCCTCCGTGATTCCTCAGATGTCTGCCTTTTAACTGATCTCCCTGCTTCTGCTTTTACCCAATCCATTCTTCACAATACCTCCAGATAGATATTTCTAAACTGCAGATTTGATCATGTTCTCTCTTTCTTAAAACCTGTTAATGGTTTCACATTTCCCTCAGAATAAAGTTCAACATCCTGAACTCAGCCTATCAGGCCTCCCTAAGGTGGACCCCAGCCACCATCCCTGCTCAATGCACACCACTCTAGCTGTACTCTGCCCTCATTACTCTACCCACATGGAGATATCCTCAGAAGCACTATGCTCATTCCTACTTCAGTTCCTCATATATGCTACTCTCTCTGCCTATAACTATCTTCCCTCACTCTTCAGCTAGTTAATTCCAACTCAGCCTTCAGGGCTCAGTTTAAATGCCATTTCTGTAAAAAAGCCACTAAGTTTGTGGTAAGTTGTTGCAGTAACAATAGGAAACAGGCATGGGATAAGGGAGATAAGGGATTGAACACACAAAAAAGGCAAAGTGTTCACCAGGATAAAGGTGAAGGGGATCCTTGGATGGCAGCTGAGTAGAAGGTAACCAGGATAGAGTAAAGCAGGTCAGAAAATCCAGAGAAAGATGTTTCCAAGAAGATAAAACTGATAGAATATCTGGTGAGTTTTTGTTTGCTTGTTTGAGAGAGAACATCGCTCTGCCACCCAGGCTGGAGTGCAGTGGTGTGATCATGGCTCACTAAAGCCACAACTTCCAGAGCTCCAGCAATCCTCCTGCCTCAGCCTCCTGAGTAGCTGGGACCACAGGTGCGTGCCACCATACCCAGCTAATTTTTGTATTTTTGGTAGAGATGGGGTTTCACCATGTAGCCCAGGCTGGTCTCCTGAGCTCAAATGATCCACCTGCCTTGGCCTCCCAAAGTGTTGGGATTATAGGCATGAGTCACCGTGCCCAGCCTTTTTGATGTTTTTGAATGTATTAAAAGGAGATTTAAACAAAAGAGGGAGAGCTTGAGAAAAGATTAGTGATAAGCACATAGAAAACTAATCAGATGTACAAAAAAAAAAAAGATTAACTTCAGGAAGTACAAAAGAGTATGTAAAAAAAAGAAAGTAAACATAATATACAACATAGCTCAGCTGTAAATAATAATTACAGAGTTACAGTAATATAAATACTGAATATTGATCTAACCAAAACTGAGATATAAATATACTAAGGAGATGGGAAAATACAAATGTACTTAGGGGAATGATGCCATTGTTATGAAAGAGAACAAGATCCTCTTCCACTCATGGTGAGAGGTAGATACATGATGCCTGAAACTGAAAAAATTATGAATTCCCATATATTAGAAATATAGAGGTAAATGGCCAGGCGCAGTGGCTCACGCCTGTAATCCCAGCACTTTGGGAGGCCGAGGCGGGCGGATCACGAGGTCAGGAGATCGAGACCATCCTGACTAACACTGTGAAACCCCGTCTCTACTAAAAATACAAAAAATTAGCCGAGCGTGGTGGCAGGCGCCTGTAGTCCCAGCTACTCAGGAGACTGAGGCAGGAGAATGGCGTGAAGCCGCGAGGCGGAGGTTGCAGTGAGCCAAGATCGTGCCACTGCACTCCAGCCTGGGTGATAGAGCAAGACTCTGTCTCGGAAAAAAAAAAATACAGGTAAATACCAGAAAAAACTCACTGGAAGAGTTCAAAGTGGTTGCTTCCAGAGATGGGAAATGCATTGGAATGGTACCAAGGACTGCTATTTTTCACTATTAGTCTCACAGAACTATTTGACTTTAAATGATGTATATGTCTAATTTTCTCTAAAAAATGAAACAAAAAATATTTAAATTAAAAACTACTACCATGCTTAGCATTGACTTTTTTCCTATTAATGAGAACTTAGATAGTATAATTGGGGAAATGACTCTAAAACTTCATCACAAAGTTTGCGTCTCAATGGTGTTTCTCAAAGGTATTTCTGGCTTCAAGAAAATTATTTTACATTTCACTTTTTTTTTTTTGAGACAGGGTCTTGCTTTTTTTGCCCAGGTTGGAATGCAGTGCCATGACATTGGCTCACTATAGCCTCGAACTCCTGGGCTCAAGTGATCATCCTGCCTTGGCCTCCCAAGTAGCTGGGACCACAGGTGGGCACCACCATACCTGGCTATTTTTTTTTTATTTTTTGTAAAAACAGAGTCTTGCTATGTTGCCCAGGCTGCTCTTGAACTCCTGGCCTCAGACAGTCCTTCTGCCTCAGGCTCCCAAAGTGCTAGGATTACAGGTGTGAGCCACCACACCCAGTTTTATTATTATTATTATTGAGACGAAGTCTCACTCTGTCACCTAGGCTGGAGTGCAGTGGCACAATCTTGGCTCACTGCAACCTCCACCCCCCAAGTTCAAGCGATTCTCCTGCCTCAGCCTCCCAAGTAGCTGGGGTTAGGCACCCACCATCAAGCCAGGCTAATTTTTGTATTTTAGTAGAGACGGGGATTCACCATGTTGGCCAGGCTGGTCTTGAACTCCTGACTTCAAGTGATCCGCCTGCCTTGGCCTCCCAAAGTGCTGGGATTACAGGCGTGAGCCACCATGCCCAGCCCACACCTAGCTTTATTTAACATTTACTTTAGGGTTTTTACTTCAACTTTCTGTGTAATGTTTTCCCCGGATATTATAAATTATTTGAAATGGCTTACAATATTGTTCATTCAAATAGGCAGTGTATCACAAATGTTTTAGGAAAAGAGCAAGAGAATTGGTTTCTTTGGAAAAGAAGTTCATTAAGGACCTCTAAGTTTAACCTGTTCAATCCCTGCAAGGACATAGTTGAGTTTCAGTCAGGTTTTAAAGGTAAATACTAAAGACCAATAATTCACCTCAGACTCTGACTCAAAGGAAAACAGATACCAAAGTCACAGAAACATTTTATTTCTTACCACCTGCTCCTTCCAAAATGCCCCGGACTACTGCCTGAACACCATTAGGCCTCATTAACCTTTCAGAGAGCAGCTGTCCACATAGACGCCGAAGCCAAGCTGGGGCCCGACACCTCAGCTGTGTCTTCACATCTGTGCAGGACTGAGAAAAAGAAGAAGGTGTGAATTCTGAATGTCACTGAAATAGATATGATGGCCGGGAACAGTGGCTCATGCCTGTTAAAAAAAAAAAAGGAGAAGAAGAAGAAATAGCTATGATATGTAGACTTATTTATTTATTTAGAGACGGAGTTTCACTCTTGTCACCCAGGCTGGAGTACAGTGGCACAATCTTGGCTCACTGCAACCTCCACCTCCTGAGTTCAAGCAATTCTCCTGCTTCAGCCTCCTGAGTCATTGAGATTACAGGCACACGTCACCATGCCTGGGTACTTTTTGTATTTTTAGTACAGACGGGGTTTCACCATGTTAGTCAGGCTGGTCTCGAACTCCTGACCTCAGGTGATCCACCCACCTCAGCCTCCCAAAGTTCTGGGATTACAGGCGTGAGCCACCATGCCCAGCTAGACATTATTTTTTAAAAGTCCTGAGTCATACTGACAATTAACAGCATGCTATACAGACTTCAAAAGAGCAACATTTTTTCCTTAAAAAACAAAAAACAAACAAAAAAAACTTTACAAAACCTTCTTCTGCATTACTTTTAAGAAAGTAAAAAACAGTGGAAAAGCAATGAAATTTCAAACTCATAAACAGACAAATGCATTAGCAATTAAAATGTAGATCTTGGGAACACAAGGTTAATGCAACCCATCTCTGAATGTAGCCCTGACAATCAAATCCAGCTTCCAAGGAAGATTCTTATGAACGTTATTTGCCACTAAGAGGGTGGTTCACGACAGGGAGGGAGCACTCCAGCCCTTGCCTCTGTGGCATTAGCAACTCTGATTCCTGTGACACAGTTCCAAGAAATAGTTGGATTTCTTTCTTTTTTTTTTTTTTTTTTGAGACGAAGTCTCACTCTGTCGCCCAGGCTGGAGTGCAGTGGCACGATCTCAGCTCACTGCAACCTCCGCCTCCAGGGTTCACGCCATTCTCCTGCCTCAGCCTCCGGAGTAGCTGGGACTACAGGTGCCCGCCACCACACCCAGCTAATTTTTTTTTTTTGTATTTTTAGTAGAGACGGGGTTTCACTGTGTTAGCCAGGATGGTCTCAATCTCCTGACCTCATGATCCGCCCGCCTCAGCCTCCCAAAGTGCTGGGATTACAGGCGTGAGCCACCGCGCCTGGCCAGATTTCTTTTGTATTTCTTTCCTGCTCCAGTGTGATCTGCAAGAAAGAGCTGGATTTCTTCAAGGGCTCCTTTCTGGGAGTTCTGTGGAGCCACTGTGAACAGACTTGGTGTCCCTTATTGTTGAGGATGGACTAAATTCACTTATTAGCTGGTTTTGGCATACACCTCTCAGCTCGTTCCTCTTCTGTCTTTTGAGAGTGACTGCGTATTTTGTTCTGCTTTTTCCTGTTGGGTACTTTTCAGAGGCCTATCCCCTGCAGAAGACGCTGCAGTTTTGTTGCTGTCAACCACTGCATTTAAGTATGTAAGCATCAAAAATAGTAACAGAAATATTTCATCCTAACTCTCCTGCCCTCTCTCTTTTAGTGAATTATTACCATTTACTGAGGGATTATGGTGTGCCAGGCACATCATAAGTAACTCCCATATAATCTCAACAGGGACTTATAAGAAAGGCATTGTGATTATCCCTATCTTATGGGTAAGAAACCTGAAGAATGGAAAGGTTTACAAATTCAAACACGTGCATACAGGGGTTGAATCCCAGAGAGGCCTGATGGAAGGCTTACAGTAAGATTCTAAGGATGAGATGAAAATTACTCAATTAGGAGATATCTTTGTAGCCAGCTTCAGCTGGTCCTTGCTCCTGACCTACAGCTAATTCCTTTGGCTTCTCACTCTTTTTCTTTTCTTTTTTTTAAAGACAAGGTCTCACTCTGTTGCCCAGACTAAAGTGCAGTGGCCCGATCACAGCTCACTGCAGTCTCAACTTTCTGGGCCTGAGGAATCCTCCCACCTCAGCTTCCAGAGTAGCTGGAACTACAGGTGCATGCTACCACACTTGGCTACTTCTTTATCTTTTGTAGATACAGGGCTCTTGCTATGTTGCCCACGTTGGCCTCAAACTCCTGACCTCAAGTGATCCTCCTGCCTCAGCCTGCCAAAGTGCTGGGTTTACAGGTGTCAGCCACGGTGCCTCGCTGGCTCCTCACTCTTTACACACCTAGATTCATAACTAAAATGTAGGTACTAAAAGCAAACAGACAATTCCATCTATATCATCAAATTAAATCATTTCAGATAAACATTTTTTTTTTTTGAGACGGAGTTTCACTCTTGTTGCCCAGGCTGGAGTGCAATGGCGCGATCTCAGCTCACTGCAACCTCCATCTCTTGGGTTCAAGCGATTCTCCTGCCTCAGCCTCCCGAGTAGCTGGGATTACAGGCATGCATCACCATGCCCGGCTAATTTTGTATTTTTAGTAGAGACAGGGTTTCTCCATGTTAGTCAAGCTTGTCTTGAACTCCTGGCCTCCGGTGATCCACCCACCTCGGCCTCCCAAAGTGCTGGGATTACAGGTGTGAGCCACTGCACCTGGCCCCAGATAAACATTATTTTTAAGAAAACAAAGAAACTATCTTATCCCTAGCAGAATATATACTACTATATGTTTGAAACAAAGGAACTAAGAATAGAACAAATAATATCTCTAGTTTTAATTTCTTGACTTCAAATACATTATCCATTCAAAGAATTAGCGTCCAGATACTTGTGCTGAAAGAACATTTTGTCAAACAGCCAATTTTTAGTTAAAAAAAGAGAAGATCTAGTTTCAGAATGAATAAAATATATCTCACATAAAATTGCCATAAGTCTTAAAAAAAGCGATCATAATATTCTTGGGAAAAGTGTCCATCATTTCATTAGAGAAAAGGTCTTTTAAATTATCCTAAGGGTCAATGTCATCTAGTTTTATAAATATCATTTTATGATCTAAAAGATGAAAAAGGCTCAACTAGATCATTAAATAGGGAACTAAAGTTATTTAATTTTCTAGAGGAAGCCAGCATACCACACATTATATTAATGAGTCACCCCCAAGAGTCCCCAGGCCTGAGTACCTGGGGTGGTCCTCCCTGGAGGATAAGCAGTTCCCGGACTGCTAAGGGCTGATAGACTTGATCCAACATGTCTCTCAAGGCCCCCCTGGATAGGGTTCTTTCCTCTTCAGTTAGAACCTAAAAGAAATGTGCACTTGGCTTTAGTGGAATTCAAACCAGGCAGACAATAGAAGGTAATGTTTTACAACACTGTACAGAGATACTTGTGAGAGGAGCGGAAGGAAGGTTTCTACCCTCTCTTGATTTCCTTCCACATGGGGGAAGCTGTACTACTAAAACATTCCTGGTCCTCTCTCCATCTTGCTCACTCCACTTCTGGGCAGGTTATGAGACTGATCTTACTGCTGAGGGTGGAGTAAACTCACTTATTGGCTGGTTTTGGCATGCATCTCTCAGCTCGTTCCTCTGCTGTCTTTTGAGAGTGACTGCACATTTTCTTCTGCTCTTTCTTGCTGGGTATTTTTCAGAGGCATATCCCCTGCAGAAGGCGCTGCAGTTTTCCAGTGCTCCTTAAAATGGGTGATTAGTGAGAGTGTCTAATTCTGAAGAGCACTGTATTGTCTCCCGCCAGGCGCAGTGGCTCACGCCCGTAATCCTAACACTTTGGGAGGCTGAGGGGGACAGATCACCTGAGGTCAGGAGTTCAAGACCAGCCTGGCCAACACGGCAAAACCCCATCTCTACGAAAAATACAAAAATTAGCCAGGCCTGGTGGCGGGCGCCTGTAATCCCAGCTACTCAGGAACCTGAGGCACAAGAATCACTTGAACCAGGGAGGTGGAGGTTATAGTGAGTCAAAATTGCACCACTGCACTCCAGCCTGGGCAACAGAGCAAGCCTCCATTTCATAAATAAATAAATAAATAAATAAGCAAGTAAGCAAGCTGGGTGTGGTGGCACATGCCTGTAATCCCAGCTACTTGGGAGGCTGAGGCAGGAGAAGCTCTTGAACCCAGGAGGCAGAGGTTGCAGTGAGCCAAGATTGTGCCACTGAACTCCAGCCTGGGTGACAGAGCAAGGCTCCGTCTCAAAAAATAATAATAATAAAAATAAATAAAAAATAAAGATTTGTCTCCATCTATAAGCTACATCCTCCAGCTTTGCCTTTATGAGCAATAGAGGTAACATTGTTCATCTCTCTTACTCTTCTTAACTCTCTTTTAATTCATTTGGGACTTGGGCAGCAAAGAGGGGTACAATTTTGGGGTACCCTTGAGCCATAACAGTACAGTTCTCCTTGATGATTACTGCTCAGGGTCAAACAGTCAGGGTTCTGCCCATTACCGTTTCACACACTGAGGTATGGGTGCTACTTAGAACACAGCTATTGGTGGGACTTTGTCCAGCTTCATAATGTACACCCAGCGTGTTTCCCCTCTGTCAACTCCTTCTCCTGCCTTCCTACTTGGTTCTTTCTCTGTGTTTCCCTTTTCATTTCTCTCTCCTGCCTGAGATCCCCGGGCACAGCTCAGCCTCAGTAACAGTAATAAGACCTGTCAACCTGGATCACACTACCTCAGGGAAGTGCAGGCAGGAGGTGCTGCTAGAAGTGTCAATATGCATAACCCTGCCGGAAGGAGGAGGCGCTCTGCTCCTATCACATAAAGGCCCCAGGGAGCTCAGAATTTCATGCCAACACTTGAATGATAGTGGCTTTTAGGCAAATGTTTATGAATGCAGGCAGGAGAGAGAAGAGAAAAGGAACAAGGACAAGGGTGACACAGGCAGGTGATAAAGAACATTGTGAAACCTGGCTGTGGAGGCTGCGGAATCACTGTGCCTGGGGGCCACACTGACCCTTGAGACATTTACATCTTAACGGCTTCCGCTGGCCAGTTCCTATGCTGATGCCAGTGGTCCTCTCATGGCGGGGTAGTGGTTCCTGCTATGTCATCCCTCTAAGTCTTATCTCCCCAGTCAGTGTGTGAGTTATTTGCAGAAAAGGACCATGTCTTATGCGTCTATGATCTCCACAGCAACTTCTGTAGTCTGGGTGCTCAACTGCTTACTTGACTGAGAGCAACCCCTAACACCTAATAATAACAATGAACATTGATAGAGTTCTGGAGTGTACCAGGCGCTCTATACGTGTTATCTCATTTAATCCTCCCAGGCATTTAATGAGGGAGCCATGATACTAGTATCAGTAGGAATTATATGAGCACTACTAGAGATTGGGCCAGATACTTGGCACACATTATCCTTAATCCTCACGACCACCTTCTGAGGCAGGTATTACGATACACATTTAATAGAAGAAGAAACAGAGGCTCAAAGAAACAGCCTGCAATAGCTGTTTCCCAAAATGATAAGGGACAGGTAAAATGGACTCTACAGGTGTGCAAAGGATGAGTACCCAATAAATGAAACCTCCACCCACCCTGAAAAGATTCATTTATCCATTGGATATGCTTTGGCATATCCAGTTCTGAAGAACTAAGAGTTGCCTTTTATAACAACTATCCACAAACATATTCACATATTCACACACACACAATCTCTCCCTCTCTTTCTCCATGTATATTTACCTCTTCTGCAGCTGTTAGCAGTTTTCTTTTGGTTGGGCAGAATCCCAGTTGGCACAGACCTGCTGCAATATCCCCAAAATGGTGGCAGAATATCAAGCTTCCCAGACATGTGTGCTGAGCAACGTTTAGAAGGGCCCTGCAGCTGGTGTACAGTCTTCGAGTTGCATCAGGGGCAGCATCGAGACACACCACGTCTTGAATGACGGCACCAAACTCAGTTCTATATCTCAAAGGGACTCCAACGCCAGGCATGAGATAGGGGCAAATACCCAAGGTGACTACAAACTGCAAAACGAACTGGACAGTCTTCTGCTGTGAGATACTAAGTGCATCGGGACTCAGGGCAGGAGCAACTTCCGGAGTCCTAGGGTTGGGTTTACCTGGATTGAAATTAGCTGCAAGGAGGAGCATGGTTTCCTTCAAGCACAAAAGCAACAACAAGGTTTCAGAGGTAAAACTCCAAGTGACATCCACAGAGTTTTGTGGCCATTCTGCCTTACCAGCAATTTCATCTCTTAGGAGTTTCAGATTCTTCCACTGAGGATCCTTCAGAAACTTGTCCTTCAAAGCAGACAGGTTAGATTTTAAAGTAGCCAACAAGACATCGTGTTTTGTGACCTGTAGTGAACTTGAGCCTGATCCTTTTGAAGAAAAAAAAAAAAAAGGAGAGATTATACACATAGAAAACAAACTGCACTTCTCCCTGTGGAATGCCCTGCCTATTCCAGTTCATCCTTGCAGGCCTGGCCCCGCTGTCACTGGCTCTGGAAAGCCTCCCCCAGGAGTACCAACCCAGCCTATGAAGAATTTAAGACCACATTTTCTGCCTTCCCACAGCACTTTGCATGTAATTGGAGTAGTGTCCTAACATTATAGCTCATCTAGTTTGCTTCTATTCCCCACATGTTTTTAGGGCAGAGACCAGGTCTGAATCATCTTACTGGGCTTAAATTGTAGCCAGAACAGAAATTTAAAAGCTGAACATTTACCGTAGAACATTCATTCAGTCCAGCTGTTCCAGGTGCTGGGGATAAAGCACTGAACAGAACAAAGGCTCTGGTCAGGTGAGGTGGCTCATGCCTGTAATCCCAGCACTTTGGGAGGCAAAGGTGGGATGATCGCATGAGCCCAGGAGTTCAAGACCAGCCTGGGAAACACAGTGAGACCCCATCTCTAAAACAACTAAAAGAATCAGCTGGCTATGGTGGTGCGTGCCTGTAGTCCCAGCTACTCAGGAGGCTGAGGTGGGAGGATCATTTGAGCCCAGGAAGTCGAGGCTGCAGTGAGCTGAGACTGTGCCACCGCACTCCAGCCTGGGTGACAGAGCAAGACCCAGTCTCAAAAACAAAATATAACAACAACAACAACAAAAAAAACAGAACAAAGCCTCTTTCCTCATGGAACTTACATTCTAGTGAGGAAGATCACAAAATACAGACACAGTGCTCAAACATTAACCACATCGTTTCCCCCCAGAATATCTATTTTCAATGGATGTCTTTTTCCTATCGAGTATGTTCTCTGACTACAATGGCATTAAGACAGAAAGTATTAACAACAAAACATCCAAAGAGTCTCAAATGTTTGGAAATTAAGCAATATACTTCTAAATAATCTATGGTCAAAAAAGAAATTACAAGATTTCCAACTGAATGCTAACAAAAAATATCAATATTTGTTGGATATAACTAAAGCAATGCTTATAGAGAAATGTATAGCTGTAAAGCTTATATCAGAAAAGTAAAAAGGACCAGGCACAGTGGCTCACACCTATAGTCTCAGTACTTTGGGAGGCCAAGGCAGGAAGATCGCTTGAGCCCAGGAGTTTGAGATCAGCCTGGGCAACGTAGGGAGATCCCATCTCTAAAAACATTAAAAAAAAAAAAAATTAGCCAGGTGTGGTGGTGCACACCTGTGGTCCCAGCTACTCAGGGGGCTGAAGTAGGACTGCTTAAGCCTGGGACATAGAGGCTGCAGTGAAAGAAAAGAAAGAAAGTTTAAAGCATAACAGAGAAGTTAATGAACATTATGCCAAAAACCAAACAATATACATGAAATGAAAATATTCCTTGAAAAATACAACTTATCAAAACTGTCACAAGACAGAATAAAAACCCTAAATAACCCTATATGTATTAGATAAATTTGCTATCTAAAAATCTTCCGCTGGGCGTGGTGGCTCATGCCTATAATCCCAGCACTTTGGGAGGCTGAGGTGGGAGGATCACTTGAGGTCAGGAGTTGGAGACCAAGCTGGCCAACATGGTGAAACCCCATCTCTACCAAAAATACAAAAATTAATTGGGCGTGGTGGCAGGCACCTGTAATCCCAGCTACTTGGCAGGCTGAGGCAGGAGAATTGCTTGAACCCGGGAGGCAGAGGTTGCAGTGAGCCGAGATCACACCACTGCCCTCCAGCCTGGGCGACAGAGTGAGACTGTTTCAAAAAGAAAAAAGAAAAAGTCTTTCAAGAGATAAAATTTCAGGCCTAGATGGTTTCACTGGTGAATCATTTAAGGAAGAAATAACACCAAGGTTACACAAACTCTTTCAGAAAATAAAGAAGAAGGAATATTTTTCAATTTATTTTGAGAGGTCATTAGAACACTGATCCCAAAATCTGACCCTGATAAAATCACAAAAAAGAAAAATACTGATCAATATCATTCATTAATCTAAACTTAAAAATCATTACTTAAAAATCTAAACTTAAAAAACAGTACACATGGCAAACAAGCATATGAAAAGATGCCCAATATCATATGTCATTAGGGAAATGCAAACTAAAACAACAGCCAGATACCATTATATACCTATTAGAATGGCCAAAATCCAGGACACTGACAACATTAAATGCTGACAAGGATGTGGAGCAACAGGAACTCTCATTCATTGCTGGTGGGAATGCAAAATAGTACAGCCACTTTGGAAGATAGTTTGGCAGTTTCTTAGAAAGTTAAACATACGATCCAGCAATTGTGCTCCTGGGTATTTATCCAAATGAGCTGAAAACTTATGTCCACACAGAAAAACTGCATATGTATGTTTATAGTAACTTTATTCATAATTACCAAAAAACAGGAAGCAACCAAAATGATCTTCAAAAGGTAAAAGGATTTTTTTTAGAAAGAAAAAAAAAGAATGGATAAACTGTGCTACACTCAGACAATGGAATATTAATCAGTGATAAAAAGAAATAAGCTATCAAGCCACAAAAGACATGGAGGAGTCTTAAATGCATACTTCTAAGTGAAAGAAGCCAGTCTGAAGAGCTATATTCTGTATAATTCCAATTACATGACATTCTGGAGGAGGCAAAACTATAGAGACAGTAAAAAGATCAGGAGTAGCCAAGAGGTCAGGGATGGGGAAGGAAAGACTAGGTGAAGTGTGGTTTTTTAGGGAGGTGAAACTATCCTGTATGAGATTATAATTATGGATATATGACATTATGCATTTGTCAAAACTCATAAAATCATATAACACAAAGAATGAACCCTAGATATAAACTTTGGACTTCAGTTAATAAGAATGTATCAATATTGGTTTATCAGTTGTAACAAATGTACCACACTAATGCAAGATGTTAATAGGGGAAACTAGGTTTGGGGTAGGAAAGGGAGTATATGGGAACTCTCCATACTTTCTGCTCAAATTTTCTATAAACCAAAAGCTGTTCTAAAAAATAGAATCTATTAATAACTTTAAAAATGCTTAAATATTAGCAAATAAAATGCAGTGATATAGAAAAGAATATAAAAGAATACTTTATTACCAAGTGTTGTTTATGCCAGGAATACATAGTTGGCTTAACACTTGACACTCAATCAGTATGATTCATCTTATTAACAGTATAAGGAGAAAACCCATGTGATCATTTCAACGAACGCAGAAAAAGCATTTGACAAAATTCAACACCCGTTCACGACACAAATTAAGAATAAAAGGGAACTTCTACAATCTGATAAAGGGTATCCATGAACAAACCTACAGTTACCATCATACTTAGTGGTGAAGTAAAATAGACACAGGATGTCTATTCTCACTTCTATTCAACATGTTACTGAAAATCTTTGTCATTGAAATAGGACAAAAGCAGCAATAAAAGACATACAAGAACAGAAAGGAAGAAGCAAAATTGTTTCTATTCACAGATGGCATCATCGTTTATGTAAAAGCCCTAAGGACTTTATAAAACAACTACTAGAACTAATAAATGAATTTAGAAAGTTCACAGAATACAAGCAATAAAACAAAAATTAAAAAACAAAAAAACAAGAAATTTTATATTTGCAGCAAAAATGACAAAATGAAATTTGGTTTATTTTTATTTATTTATTTATTTATTTTTGAGACTGAGTCTTGCTCTGTCAAGGCTGGAGTACAGTGGCACAATCTCGACTCACTGCAACCTCCACCTCCCGGGTTCAAGAGATTCTCCTGCCTCAGCCTCCTGAGTAGCAGGGATTACAGTCACCCGCAATCATGCTTGGCTAATTTTTCTGTATTTTTAGTAGAGATCGGATTTCACCATGTTGGCCAGGCTGGTCTCAAACTCCTGACATCAGGTGATCCACCTGCCTTGGCCTCCCAAAGTGCTGGGATTACAGGCATGTGCCACCACTCTCGGCTGAAATTTAAAACTTTTTTTTTTTTTTGAGACAGTTTCATTTTGTCTCCCAGGCTGGAGTGCAGTGGTGTGATCTTGGCTCACTGCAACCTCTGCCTCCCAGGTTCAAGCAATTCTCGTGCCTCTACCTCCCCAGTAGCTGGGACTACAGGCACATGCCACCACACATGGGTGATCTCTTGTATTTTAGTAGAGATGGGGTTTCACCATGTTGCCCAGGCTGGTCTCAAACTCCTGAGCTCAGGTGATCCACCTGCCTTGGCCTCCCAAAGTGCTGGCATTACAGGTGTGAGCCACCACGCTCGGCCTAAAACTTTAATTTACAAAAGTTAGGATAAATTTAGCACAAGATATACAAGCTCTCTACACTGAAAACTTGCTGATAAATTATTTATTTATTTTTTTTTTGAGACGGAGTTTCACTCTTCTCGCCCAGGCTGGAGTGCAATGGCGGATCTTGGCTCACTGCTACCTCCACTTCCCAGGTTCAAGCAATTCTCCTGCCTCAGCCTCCTGGGTAGCTGGGATTACAGATGCCCACCACCACACTCGGTTAATTTTTGTATTTTTAGTAGAAACGGAGTTTCACGTTAGCCAAGATGGTCTCGAACTCCTGACCTCCGGTGATCCACCCGCCTTGGCCTCCCAAAGTGTTGGGATTACAGGTGTGAGCCACCATGCCCAGCCAAGAAAAAATTTTAAAGACCCAAATAAAGAAGAGATATATCCAGCCGAGAGAGGTGGCTCATGCCTGTAATCCCAGCACTTTGGGAGGCAGAGGCGGGCAGATCATGAGGTCAGGAGTTCGAGACCATCCTGGCTAACACGGTGAAACCCTGTCTCTACTGAAAATACAAAAAATTAGCCGGGCGTGGTGGTGGGCACCTGTAGTCCCAGCTACTCAGGAGGCTGAGGCAGGAGAATGGCGTGAACCCTGGAGGCGGAGGTTGCAGTGAGCTGAGATTGCACCACTGCGCTTCCGGCCTGGGGGACAGAGCGAGACTCCTCTTC